TGCTCGCGCCCCCGCCGCCCCACGTGGCTTTACGCCCGTCACGGCCACCGTAAAACGCTGCCCGGTCGTCCGGGCGTCGGCAGCCTCAGCACCCCTCCCTGCGCCGCCCCCGCGCCGCCCCTGCAGCGGACTTACCGAGCCCGACAATGTTGCGACCGGCCACGTACGGCAGCAGGGCACGGCAGTGCAGCACACAAGGTTGTTCCGGGGCAGAGAAATTGGTTTGAAATCGGGTCAGGCCACGGCCAGACTCGGCCACCGACCATCCGTCTCTCTCTCTCTCTCTCTCTCTCTTCCTCTCGCAGCCACACACTTCCCGAATAACCGTTGCACTACACCAACATGCCTCCATCACACTACACCTGCACTACCCCGCTACACTCCGACGCCGCCCCCGCCCCTACACTCCTCCACCATTACGCCCCCAGCCCTACACTCCCCCCCCCCCTCCCCTCCGCCAGACGGGGTGAATGGACGCCGCGGAGTGAAAGGGCAGGGAGAGGGAGGGAGAGAGAGGAAGGGTGATGATGTGGTCACTGACGCAAATTGAGTTTCAAGGTTGGCGTGACTGCGTCGCGCCGGGGGAGCGGCGGCGGCAGCAGACGACGCTGCTGTTGTTGTTGTCGGAGGTGATGGACTCATTGGCACTTGAACGCGTTCGCACACGCGGCTGAGCAGGCCGTGGCCGGGCGTGGGGCGTACTTTGCGGCGGGGCGTACAAATGAAATGGAAAGAAAACACACCCCGCCGCGACCCTCTGCCGCCCGCCCCGCTCGCCCCGCTCGCCCCGCGGCAACGCCTGGGCTGGGCTGCCTCGAGTCGTGGCATTTCGCATTTTTGATGATTCGCCTCCCCCCCCCCCCTGCCTCCGCCGAGGCAGCGCCGCCGTTCGAGTGTAAAGGCCGGAAAATTAAAATGCAACAAGCAGCAACGCATGCACGCCAGGGGTGCGCTCTGTGGAAATCTGGGAAACTCAGCTGGCCATCGAAAGTGGGGAGGAGCAGCCCGCGGCGGGACAAGAGAAAATATGGCGATTAGACAAACTAAAAGTTCGATGTAATTTAGAGTTTTAGTGGAAAAGTTTTATTTTTTCGACGAAATGGAATTTTTACTTTTTGGACACACTAGAATTTTTTCGCGCAAATTAGAAATTTAAATTCTTTTGACAAATTAGAAATTTCATTTTTTGACAAATTAGAAATGTGAACTTTTTCGTTTGAAATTCGACGCAAGATGTGCAGCATAGCTCGAGTGCCATCGATCGTGACGCGAGTGCACGGCTGACACACCCTGGCGCTGCCGGCTCGCTGTCGGGCTGGCAAGCGCGGCTCGCGCGGCCGGCCTGGTGGCAGTGGCGGCAAGCGAGCGCAAGCGCCGTGGCGCCACCCCCTCAACTTCACCTTGCACTGCGCAACCCCTAGACCGCTCACCCCTCGGGGCGCACGGCCGGCACGGCGGCACGGCCCGGGCCCAGCGCGCAGCCAGCCCTCCCCTAATGCCTGGGGTGTTGCCAGGCAACGGGCGGACAGCGGCCGCTGCTACAGCGCGCCGCAGCGGCGCCGCGCGACCGCTGCAACTGCAGCAACAGCAACAGCAACAACAACAATCGTGGTGTAAAGCGAGGTGCCCTCCGTCTCAAGCCGCGCACCGCAGCGCGCGGCGCACGTGGAGGCCGAGCCGAGCAATCCTCGAAAGCAGAGGAAAGGAAAGGAAAGGAAGGCACTCCGAAAAAAAAAGGACAGCAAATATTTTTCCCGAAGCCAAGCAGAGCGGTGGAGATGAAATGTTTTTATTCAGACCGCGATATAAACGGAACGCCTTTCACAATCCACTTTCCTTCTCGGGCCGGAAACAATAATAAGGTGCGGTGCCGACCGCGCTTCGCTTTTCACCTCCAAAGTGTATGTAAATCTCATTTGATGAGCAATAAAAGTTTCAAGGTCCGGGTCTGGCTAGCTGCTCTAGCTGGCGCTGCCACCCCCGCCCCTCCCCCTGCCCGGCCGATGCCGGATCAAAAAGCAACCCTCTCCGTAGCCATCCCTCCGCTTGCATCAGGAAATGGAACATTAAAGCTCGTCGAACGCACACCCCGCGAACGACTGATGTGAGGCAGGCCTGACATAACGCCCCTCTCCCTGTCTCTCTCTCTCTCTCTCTCTCTCTCTCTCTCTCTCTCTCTCTCTCTCTCTCTCTCCCTTGTCTGCCTCTCTCCTTCCCTCTCCCTCCCCCTCGCGCGGACACGGCCAGAGGAGGGGTTCTTCAGTGGGGGCCGCCGTGGATTACAAGCGACATGCAAGAACGCGACCGGAAAAAAATTAAAACTTCCCCTTAACACTTTTTTCCTTTCTTTTTTTTTGGGAGCCACGCGAAATCGCGTCCAGCGACTCGCCTGAAGGCGGCTAGACGCGGCGCGAGGCGATGCAGCTGGGGCGCCCCGCCCCGCCCCGCCCCGCGGCCGGTCTTCTCGTTGCAGTCCCACCCCTAGGCCCCGGGCCCAAGGCGGCGCTCCCTCGGTTCGATATCCCGAAGGAAGAGCATCCTGCAGGACCAGGACCGGCACCAGGATCGGGAGGGCGAGGGGGAAGAAGGAGAGTCGGGCGCTGCATCGCGTCACTCGCACCTACAGGAGGGCGTGCAGGGCCTCGCCCGGCCTCGCCGGCACGCTCCGGTCGCACCAACCGCCACACGCGTAAACAGACACGTGTTCCACGCCGTTATCGTCAGACAGCGTCTCGATCGTCTCTGCAGCGCCGGAACGCCCCACAGTGGGCCAGAAGACCGGCGCCGGCAGCCAAAACTCTAAACGCGATTTTCCATACAGCACCGCACCTTGCCTCACGGTGGCGTCACCTGGTGGGACTCGGGGGACTCCACGGCCACAGCGTTCGATTTTGATACAACTTGGTTGGCGGGGCGGCGGGGCGGGGCGTGGAGGCGCCTCACCTCCCCGTCGCGAGTATTGCCACAAGGCCCCGAGGGTGCGGTGCGTGTGGGCCAAGATTTACGGCACTATTATAATCCCAGATGCTGCCCCCGTGCGCGCGCGCGCGCGCGTGTGTGTGTGTGTGTGTGTCTAAGCGCGTGCGGCGGCTGGCAGAGGGACCCAAAACTTTTCGGCAGTAAGCCGCCAGGAGCGCGGTGCCTCGCACCCCGATCGTCCGATACGGTGGCGCTGCGTCGCGCTGCGGTTCAAGGTGGCGGCACCGCACACGACGTGCTGGAGGCCGAGTCACCCTGCCGCGGCCTCCGCGGCCTGGCGGGGGCTGGGCGCTGTTATTGGTCAAGTTCAAGTTCACGCACTGTAAGGTCAGGGACCTCGCAGCCTTGCAGTGGCGCGAGCAGTACGATTTAGCACAAAGGCGCTGGCGGACACACGCAAGGCCACTACACGTCACCGTTGTTGTTTAAGGTCAAAAAATTTGTGTTTAAAAAGTGGTGCGTTGTTCTATTGGTCACTGTATGTGCTTAAAACATTTCGCTCCAGACTAATATATGCCGTCAGAATCTCCCATCCCTCCCTCGGTCCAAATCCTTCACAATCCAGGCGGACGAGCGCGTGGCGCATGCGAGACGAAAAACAACAAATCCAACAACAAGAATAACAAAGATGGCGGCCGAAGGCGCGCGGAGGCAATAACAACAAATTGATATTACACGTGCGTGGTCGGGCCAGGCCTTAGAGCCAGGCCGTCCGTACGGAGACTTTGAAGCGAGAGGATGCGGGAGGTTTCCAAGGCTGCGCGTCGCGGCGGTCGCGGCCCAGCGAAATGAACCGCAAAGCGAACCAAAGTCCGTAATTTGTCTCAAGGATTCCTGTCGACGTGGGTCGCAGAAGTTCGCAGGCGTTCCGGAGAACCGTCACCGTCACGCGAGGGCAGCGTGCTGCTTACTTTCTTCAAGCAGATGTTTTCAACAATATTTTTCGTGTTTTTCCTTTCTTTAAAATTTTCTGGCACGTACTTAATCATAACAAATAAAGCGTAACTTGTAACAGAATTATGAAACACGCCTCCTTTTTTTTTGGCCTTTTTTTAATTTTTTCATTTCTATTTTTTTTTCTAAGTTTTTTGGATGTCGAAACTTTTGGCAGGGTGCGGCGGGCCGCCCGGTCGAAGTGTAGGGGAATGTGCGAGTCGCTAGGGTGCGGTGCGCTGCACTGCGCGGGGCAGGGGCGCGGCGCCACGGGGCGGGGCGCGGCGCCACGGGGCGGGGAGGGGCGGGACGGGGCGGGGCGGGGCGGGGCGGGGCGGGGCGGGGCGGGGACGCCGGCGCCTCCACCCTTGGGGTGGCGCGAGCACACCCTCGCGCGGACAGGCGGGCGGACAACCCTCGCCAAGACCCACCCTCAACCCTCGCGGCGAGGCTGCCGTAACTGCGCGGCCTTGCCGGCGACGATACGCGGGTCTCGGACTCCGACAGCGCCGGCAGCGCCAGCCAGGGCGGAGGGGAGGCCGCGGACACGCCAAGGCTCGCGCCAAGGTAGAAGGGGAGCAGGAATTTCGTTCACGGTGCCAGTAGACTAGGCGATCCACAAAGGGCGGCAAATAGACAGAGACGGGCAAACTAAAAAGCAAACAGTTGCGGCGGCTAGAAGGAGACGGAGCGCGTCGCGCCGTGTCGCGCCGTGGGGGCAGGCAGCCCGCTGGCCGGGAGCGGTCTGCGGTTGGCCTGTCCGGGGCTGCCAGGCGCAGCCCGCCAAGCCACGCCACGCGCCGCCAGCGAGGCCTCCGACAGCCTGCGCCGCGCCTACACTGCACTGCCGACGGCCAGAAGACCGGCGCAGGCGGCAAAAACTCTGAACGCGTTTTTGAGCTCCAGAGTCGCTAAACAGGACTCGAAACAAACATGTGACCCCACCAATGGATTCCTCGTTCGGAGAGCAATCTATTGGTGGGGTCACACGTTTGAATCGAGTCCCATTTAGCGACTGGAGCTCTAAACGCGTCCGGGTTTTGGCCGCCTCCACCGGTCTTCTGGCACACTGGTTGCACCGCGACGCACTACTCGAGGTGCACCGGCGGCGGGTTGACAGCGTTTCCAGGGTTTCCTGCCGCACTGCCTGCAGGCGGGATAAGATAAAGGGTTGAGATAGCCGAGCCACACACACACGCACGCGCACACACACTGCTCCAGGCGGCGTCCTGGACGACCAGCCTGACCTGCTACATCACCAAGGACTTTTTTGATTTCACCAGAATTTGGGCTGGACTTCCACCAGAAAGGGCTTTTTCGTGAAGCAAGTGCCTCCCGCCGACCACTTGGATAGCAACGTTTCCAAGCGCACCGCATCAATGGGGCTTCGGACGGAGGGGATCAAGAGCACGAATCGCGACAGTGAGTGCTAGCAGAGCAAGCGAAGCATCGAAGCGCAGAGGATGACGCCGTGGGCGGGGCCGCGGGGCCACGGGGCCGCGGTGCAGGGGCTCAAGTTGCTGTCCAATGGCGACGCAGCATCCCAAGCCGGGCCGAGCCGAGCCGAGCAGAGCCGAGCAGAGCCAGACAGTGGTGGGGGTGGCGGCCCATGACCTGCATGCTGCAGTGACCTTCGCGCGAGACTATTCACTCTCTCCGCTCTATCCCGATCTATGCGACCTCCGCCCGCCCAGGTTCAAGTTCAAGTGCCGAGCGCGTCTCTAAGCGTCTAGAGGTTGAATGACCTGTCTGTCCATCCGAGCGCGCGACCAGGCTGAGGTCCCTGTCTAGTGTTCTTCAATCAGGCTCTGTATTAGATCCTACACTGTGTTCGTTCTGTTCGCAAAGTCGGCGCAAACCTCAAAACAGCGGCGGGGAAAAAACGAGATCGCGACAACCGAAGGGGTTAGTATTCGCACCCCGGACTGTTGGAAACTGTTGGAGACATGTGGACAAAGGGGTGCGACTGCTCCATGTCGGAGCGCGCTCTCCGCCAGGGCTCCGCCAGGGCTCCACCGCCGCCTCGCTGCCGCAGTGCTCCGAGTGCTGTGGCAACGACCCACACTCGGCAGGCGGCGCAAGCGGCCACGGTCATTCACTCTCCCTCTCCTCCCTGCCTTTCCCTCTCACCTCCTCCCCCCACTCCTCTCCCCCTCTCTCTCCCTCTCTCTTCCTCTCCCTGGTTCCCGGCGGCGTCAGGCGGCAGGCCCTGCGCGTGTACCCGTCACACCAGATACAACGAGATACCTGCCCACGGATGCGTACATTTCGCACGAAGCTCATACTGTGTGTGTGTGTGTGTGTGTTGTGTGTGTGTGTGTGTGTGTGTGTGTGTGTGTGTGTGTGTGTGTGTGTGTGTTTGCACGCGTTCGAGCGGCGCGTGTTGCATGTGTGAGTGAGACTCACCTAGGTCTGGGATAGAGCTGGACGGCTCCTCGCGGTGTGCCCGCTCCTTGCTCCTGGCGTGGGAGTGCGGGGGCCGCGGCGGCGGCGGCCGCATCACGGAGCACGGCGTCGACGAGGACGACGAGGACGACGACGGCGGAGAGGACGTTGACGAGGACACGAGGGGCGCCGGCGGCACTCGGAAGTCTCTGTACTTTTGCTCCGCCGGGGGCGGCGGGGGCGGCGGCGGCCCCAGGGGCGAGTGGGTCGGCGCTGCGTGCTGCGGGTTGAGCGTGATGTGCGGGTGGGGGTTGTGCGGCGGTGGCGGCGGCGGAGGCGGCGGCGGTGGCGGCGGCGGCGGCGTGAGCTGCGACATCTCGCCCTGGTCCATGGGCGGCTCCTCCTTGAGGTGGATGGGCGGCAGTGGGTGCGCCTGAGGCGGCGACGGCCCCAGGGGCGGCGCCATCGGCGTGCTGCCGTGCTCGTCGCCCAGGCCGTGCTCCACGCCGTGGTCCATGGCGTGCTCCAGGCCGTGGTCCATGCCGTGGTCCATGGCGTGGTCCATGCCGTGCTCCATGCCGTGGTCCTCGGACGCGTCCGAGTTGGCCATCCCGGGGGTCATGTCGGCGGCCTGGAACAGGTAGAGGCGGGGGTCACCTCGATTCACGCACAACAAACAATCCCTGCGAGACACAGCTTTCGCGTTCGAAGTTCGGGCGGGGCAGGAAAGAACAGGGACTTCAAAGTTCCAGCGCGTTGGGAGATGCTTGGACGCAGTGGCCGCCCACGATTTCCAGACAAGGCAACAAAATTGAATTGGTCGCGGCGAGTCCTTGCAAGGCGAAGAAGGCGCTTTGCCAAACATCGAACGCCGGTAATCGACCAGTCATCGAACCGTTCCACGCGGGTACCGACCGATAGCCGGCTCCCCAGTCGCATCGTTCGCCTCCCTGGAATGAGGTAACCAGAGGCAACGCGGTGTACCCCCGCTCCCCCAGGACCCCGGTAGGTACCTTTTTGTTCTCGTTTCCCCGTCTGGACGCACTTTTCTTTTCTTTCGGGTGTCTGGCCCTGGGCAGGGCAGGGCCGGGCAGGGCAGGGCAGGGCCGCGCTGGGCATGCCCTGGGTCCGGGTGCACGCCCGATTGGGACCCCGTCCACTTCACCTTGTGTATGCCCTTGTCTACATACCTCCGGGCCCTTCGGCCCCTCGGCCCTCTGGACGAGCCCTTCGACGCGTCGTGAGCCTTCGTGGCTCTGCCCTTTGTCCAGCACTTGCCCAAGGCCAGACATCTTTATCCCAAAATATGAGAGGCAACTTGGTCCGCCCCGCCCGGCCCGGTCCCCTTCGTCAGATCTGGACCTTGACGAACCCGTGCTTCCGCATGCCGCCCGGGATGCCGGCCGGGGGGATCGGAAAATTCCGTAATTCGATTAATCGATTCACTCGCTGCCACTGCAAGGTGGGCTACCAGACCGGTGGAGGCGGTCATTTAGAGCCCCAGAGTCGCTAAATGGGACTCGAACCGAACGTGTGACCCCACCAATGGATTGCTCTCCGAACGAGGAATCCATTGGTAGGGTCACACGTTCGGTTCGAGTCTTGTTTAGAGACTCGGGCGTCTAGTGTTTCGACGGCCTCCTGTGCACTGTAGGGGCTGTTTGTCGCAACACCACTGTTATCCTTTCGGTAGTAGTACAGTGTAGGCAGCGCGAGGGCTTCCGGCCGCGACACAGAGACAAGCATTGCCGGTGGCGGAGGCCTTGACTCGGCGAGGTGGAAATAACTTTACGACCTACAGTTTCCGAGATTACTCGTCAATTAAAATAAGCCCGGGACAAACGGGTTTGGAAAACGAATCAGCTAGACTAATCAAACGGAACGCCAACTGTTTTTATGGGCACTTTTTGAATTCGATTTGGTGAGGCATACTGTCCCAAAATTTTCCACATTATTAATTTTTTATTTAATTGTAGTAATTTTAATTTAATTTAAGTTGTTTTTTTTAGATCTGTCGTGCCTACAGTAAAACTAGAAATATCCCATTCCCGTTTCCCGGTCGCGCCGACAACAAAAGCAGGGCGTTTTGCCTTTTGTCCGCCCGCCACTCTCCACACTCCACTCTCCCCACTACACTGCACTACCGCGCTGCCCCCGCCCCGCCGCCCGCCGCTATGACGCTGCAAACAGGTTCGAGGCGCCGCCACGGCTGGCCGCCTGGCCGCCCCGCCGCTCACCAAGATCAAGTCCAAGTTCAAGTTCAAGCGCGGCGGCCGGCGCGAGCGAGCCCGCCGCCCGCATTCGAACGCGAGAGTGAGATTCCGTGTTCGGCATAACCTGATCGCATGCACACTGTAAATGAGTCAACCCTGCTCCTGCACTGCACGTGCGCGACGCAGGGACTTTGAATGAGCGAGCGTGCGCGCCACGCGAGTACACGCTTAAATATTAATTTTCCCTTCCGCTTCAACTCGCGACTACTCGCAAAAAAAAAACTTTAAAAAAAAATCGACAAATTTTTTGAGAGAGTACCCAATCCTAATGAAGCCCCATTATGTTGGACGCACGTGAAGGGACAACCGAAAGCGAGAGTCGAGGATCGAGAGGATTGTGAGGGGGAAGGGGGCTGGAAGGGGGAACCGAGGATGCTCAAGGTCAGCTGGTGGACCAGTCGGACGGACCGACGGACCGAGGGCTTTTGGGCGTGAGCGTGTGTGTGTATGTGTGTGTGTGTGCCTGAGTGAGTTTGTGTGTGCCTGTGTGAGTGCGTCCGACCGAAGAATGGTGTAATGGGAAGCAAGGGGAGACATCAACGCCCACCTTGGGGGGAGAACAGTATGACCTCTCCGGCCGGACGGTCAGCCGAAGTCTCCGACCGACTAAGATTCGGAAGCTGTGCGCGGCCAGGCTAGGCTTGTATTGGCACGGTCTCAACGTGTTTATTTCGCCAGAACGAGGGACCTCTACGCAGAAACGCGTCTGACTGAGAGCGACAAAGAGTTTCGCCGAATGTGGGACAGGCTCGGACAAGCCAGCGCACAGTGGATTTGCCAGAAGACCGGTGGAGGCGGCCAAAACTCTGGACGCGTTTTGAGCTCCAGAGTCGCTAAACAGCACCGGCGTACCACGCAACAACGATGCTCCTATGGTGAAACGGAAAGTGACACACGCATCCCCCCCCCCTCTCTCTCTCTCTCTCTCTCTCTCTCTCTCTCTCTCTCTCTCTCTGTGAATTTTCTTTCCCCCTGTCCACCTCTCCCAGCGAGGCTCGACTAATTTCCGTGCCGTCGCAAAGAGAGAAAGAAAAAGGCAAAATGGCGTCGGTGGCGCAACACCACTGTGATACTCCGTGACCGGAACGGATGGCCGGACCGTGCCGTACTCCAGACCGGAAACCGGAAACCCCGAGTGGATCATCCTCGGCAAATACCTCCAAGCGCGAACCGGGAGGCAGGGAGAGTACGTCCAGGTGGGCGAGTGGGAAGACGAAGGGCCTTCGGACAGAAAGGGAAACTGGGGGCCCGTGGGGGCCCTTCGTTCCGAGCCCTTCGTTTGGGGCCCGTCGGTACCGGCCCTGGTGCCCTGCTGGCCCTGCTGGCCCTGCTGGCCATCCGACTCGACCCACTCACCAAGGGCCACGCTGGGCCGCGCTGGGGTACGCGCGGAGCCATCATTCAGTGCCCCCACACACAACGCCCGGCGCGGCCCGGCGGGACTTTTAAACATTTAAACCGAAAGCCACGGAGACTAGCGCGAACCGAAGCTAGCGTTGCAAACTGCTCAACAATAGCTACTCATGGTTCCAAATGTGAAACTTCTTGCACAACTTCCACTATGTAATCAGTTGCTGCTGCAATTGGAAGGACCGCTTTGAAATTGTCGCATGGGCGAATTTGTTTCCCGCGTCCGAAAATTCCCCGACGCACAGTGCGAGAGAGACAGGCCGCCGGGACCTCCCCTGCAGCGCGGTGCAGCGACACGGCGGCTCGTCACGGCGCGGCCGCGGCGTGGGAGGCTTTACAGGCCCAAAGCCCTCCCTCTCTCCAGGGCCGTCTGAGTGCGTGGGGCTGGCGGCAAGGCGGCTATTCTTGTAAGGCAGGGCACGGCCGGCACGCGCAAGTCTCGCGTGTCTCCGGCGTCGCTGCGGTCCTTCAATTGTACGCCACGCCGCGAGGGACAAGGATATTTATAACGCCCCCCCCCTCTTCTTCCAATGTCTCATCAGTAGTAGGCCAGCGTTATGATGACGCCCAGTGTGGCTGCAGTGGGTGACCTCCTCCCCCCCCCTCTCTCTCTCTCTCTCTCTCTCTGACAAGCACGTAGCCGACAACTACTCCTTCCTGTGTGACCGAGTTTCCACCCTCCCCTCCGCCTTGGACGGGCTCTGCCCTTCGGGTGTGTCTGGCCCTCCCCCCCCCCCTCCCTCCCTCTCTCCCTGGCCCTTCGAGTACCGCCGCCACGCGGTGCCGACCGAGTCGTTTTGGTCGTCCCGTCTCGCTCGCACCGATTCGGAACGCTGCGTGAGTGCGAGAGAGACGGAGCGAGTCGGTCTGCTGGTCCTGCGGGCCGTCGGCCCCGCCATGCCGCGCGAGTGCGACGAGGACGGACAGCGGCAGAGAGAGATAGCGATACCCAGCGAGTGGCCGCCGTGGCCGCCGGGCGGGCTGGAGCGGAACGGAACAAGAAGGGGGTTGGCCTGTCCCTTCCACTGCACTGCGTGCGTGTGAGTGTGTGTGTGCAGGGCCCACTTACGTAAGCCTGGACGGGAAGCCTGCGGCCGGCCGGCACGGCACTGGCATTCGTCCACTGACCGAGTGTAGCGTAGCAGAAACATAATGAAGCCACCCAAAGCCAGATAAGTAATAACATCGTCGAAAGGAGCAGCAAGCACAACGACCAGGCAGTGGGCCATTCAAAGTGAACCAGACCCAGGTGAGCATCCACGGCGTCCATCACGGGCTGCTCAGCCAGGATCACAGTCAGGCGTCGTCCAGAACGTCCAGACCGTGTCCAGGGCGACGTTCCACGTCCTGGCCGTCCTAACCATCGCCCTTGACAGTGGCAGGACGGGCGGCCACCGCGCCTCGGTGCGGGTCGCGGCGGAGGGAACGCTTCCTCCGACGGCCTGCTACGGCGGCGCGGGTACGTACCCCCCCCCCCCCCACACACACACACACACGGCAGAATAGGAAGGCGGCGAGGAGGGCGGGCACGCGGCTCCTAGAATAGAAGTCTAAAAGTGAAGACTCCTGTTTGGTGGAGGCCCCGGTGCAGGCCGCCGCCGCCGACGGGCTGCGGGTGTGCCGGCAGACGCTTCTGCTGCGCTTGGACGCATCCCCGCTGTCCCCACCTGAGTCCAGCCCGTCTAGGCCGTCTAGGCCGCCCAGGCCGGCCGGGTTAGCCTGTCCGAAGCGCCACCGTCGCCCGGCGAGAGCTAAATTGGGTGAAAATGGGTGCACACACACAGAGTGCACGACAACCGCCGTCTTCCGGCCGCCCTGATGCCTCCTCCTTTTCATTCCCGCTTTGCATGTTTGTTTGTTCTCGTTTTCTGAACCTTTGACGGCACCGCACCGCGGCACCGCCATGACCACGGCCATGACGCTATCGGCGGGGCGGCGGGACGGCGGGGCGCCCTTCCAGACTTCCAGAGGACGCCGACGGCCACGTCCGCCGGCACGGCCAGCACGGCCAGCACGGCCGACACCCGCACATGAGGATGAGGCGACCCGACGAGCCGCCCCGCCCCGCCCCGCCCCGCCCCGCCCCAGACAGGCTTCCTATTGCGTAACCTTGGCCGCGGCGTTTGTTTTGGCTGCTCAATGTCACCCAGTAGCCCAGAGTACAGTATGGCGGCGACGCGTCGGCCTGCCGGCACACCCCGGCCGGCCCCGCCCCGCCCCGCCCCGCCACGTCGGCGGCGGCGCGACCAGAAGCGCGTAACTGTGCGCTGCTCGAGACTTCCAGACACCCACAGGCCCACAAGGGTGTGGCCGCGGCGCGGGGTCCGTGCGGGCGGTGCGGGCGGCGCGGCCGGCACCGCGAGCACGCACTCGACGCCGTGTCTCCGGCAGTGACCCACCCACGACCCAGACCCACGCGCGGCCGGCGGGGCGGGGCGGGGCGGGGCGGGGCGGGGCGGGGCGGGGCGGGGCGGGGCGGGGCGGGGCGGGGCGGGGGGGGCCTCCCTCGGGGGACTCCCCGGACTTAATGAGCTCAAGGGCTTGGAACGCTACTGGAAGGCGAGGAAGCTGGCGTTTCAAGAACCCACCTTCCTCAAGGCGTTCAAGTGGTGGTCCAGGAAACAGTGTGTCGGAGGAAGGCGTTTCGAACCTCCGGGCGGCCAGGCGGCGGCAAAGTCGCTGACTTCGGCTGGGTGCGAATCGGCCCAGCCTCTCGAGTTCGGCGGGGCGCCTGAAGGTTAGGCAACACCCTGCCAGCCGTGCGGGTGACTTGCCTAGGCAGCCAGGCTGAGGTAGGCAAGCCCGCGCGACACCGGTGCGTCGCGGGGCAATGGTTGCCTACCCTGCGATTGGCAGGCGGCGGAGTGCGAGTCCGAATCTCTAATGGCTGGTCCCAAGCGGGAAAATGATTTCAGTAGCGACTCTGCTGGAACTGAACCACAGTGGGCCAGAAGACCGGCCGAAACTGCTGAACAGGACTCTAACGCGTCTAGAGTTCTGGCCGCCTCCGCCGGTCTTCTGGCCCACTGTGTGCTGTACTACTAGTGTGTGAATCAATCCGGCGGCTTGGAGACGGCGGCGTGTTATAGCATTATCGCGTTCCTTTTGTCCGGTCGGCCGGTGGGCCGGTCGCAAGGGAAACGGGGCACTCGGCCAAATCGCGGACGGGCCGCGGACGGGCCGCGTGGCCGCGCCGAAAAACAGACGGCCAGCGCGCCAATTTGCATCTCATAAGGACTACTTCCTCGACGCGCGCGGCACAAGTAAAAGGAAACACGTCTGCCCGAATTGTCCGCCAGAGACGTAACAATCTGGCCCGCGTACAGTGTACACACAAGCAAACACAACGAGTCACTGCGCGACCTTCAAAATATTTACCAGCGCGGCTTATTCACAATCGGTCATAAGGCGCGACTGTCTACGGCGATACATAAAACATTTTCCCCCCAAAACAAGCAGTCCCGGCGGAAGGAAGCTTTATTTCGCAGTGTTCAGGAGCTTCGGAGATATTTTTAGATATATAAAACGGGGCCTGCTTAGCGACTCTGGAGCTCAAAACGCGTCTAGAGTTTTGGCCACCTCCACCGGTCTTCTGGCCCACTGTCACGCGGGGCGGCTCCGCGAAGCTCCGCGAAGCTCCGCGAAGCGACGACAGGTGGCGCTGCGGTCGCGGTGCACTCGGTGCGACTGCACCGTCAAATTCGGACGGCGGTCAAAGCATCGTGACTTGAGTGCACAGTGAGTTACCATGTGGCTTTTCGCGTGAAAAGCTTTTGCACGAAATGGAAGTGCATACACGGAAAAGGCACGAATTCACGCCCAATGGGCTTTGTTACGCACGAATTCGTGCTTTATAAAACGCATGCTAGATTTCGCGAAAGCTATATGCACAAACTACATAATAATTTAGTGAGTGATCCATTTATGAGTTTTTCTCCGGAGCTCGTAAGAATGGGCCAGCAGCACGACGTCGTCACAACCGTCCTTATTTCAATTTCTTTTTCTTTTTTTCTCGGCGGAATCGTCCCTACGCAAGTTGCACGGCGTCCACCGGCAGGAGACTGATTCCGAGAGTCGTTTTCGTAGCTCTGTCTCTCTCGCACCTGTACGAGACGCCGCATGAGTGCGAGAGAGACAGAGCGACGAAAGCGACTCTCGGAATCGGCTGTCGGGGGAGGCTCCCTTCCCCGCCCCGCTTCCAAGTCCGTGCCGCCGACAACAGCTGTTGGTTCCGAGCGGCCGCACACCGGCTAGCGAGTGTCTGCCCCGCCGGCCCCGCCCCGCGTGGGTGGCTCAGGGGTAGTGCCGCGAAGCGCGGCGCATCGCAGGTACCATCGCACCGCGGCACTCGGTCAGCGCGCACACTGTTACAAACCAGCGTCCCACAGTGGGCCAGGCGGTCAAACTCCCGGACGCGTTTTGAGCTCCAGAGTCGCTAAATGCGAAATGATGGCGAAGCGGTTGGTCCTGGCCAGGCGTTCAATGACCAAAGTTTGGCCGATGCTCGCGTGCTAGAGTGGCCGCTTGCCCGCTTCGCCGTCACCGCACCTACGCCGCGCGCGGCCCGCCAAAAAAAGGCCGAAAAAGTGGGCCGAAAAGACGTTTGGCCAAAACACCTGCGTGGGCTGCGGACTCGTTAATAAAACGATACTCCGTGACTCCGCGACCGCCATCATCACGCCAGCAGGCTGATTCCACGCAGTTTTGGCCGCCTCCGCCGGTCTTCTGGCCCACTGTGGATCGCTCCGCAGGATGGAAACTGAAGCAGCGCGCGGGCCGCGGCGCGGCGTTCCGCCCAAAAGGCGGTACAGTCCGTCATCGCGATGGTGACGGTGACGCCAACGGTGTCCTCGGTCCGCGCCGTCCGCGCCGCGCCGGCGTGCAGATCCTGACGAATTCGCTTCCTGGTGGCCCGCTGCTCCGCTGCTCCGCTGCTGGTCCCCGAATGTGGCAAGGTCGTCGGAGGCCCGCCCGGCCCGCCGCCATATCGCACGTGTATTGTGGCGCACCGGCACCGCCGCCTGCCCGGCCTGCCCGGCCTGCCCGCCACGCCAAGGCCTTTGATAACGAGGCTGCTGCGGACCGTTGTCATAGTAACCCGATGATGGCCCAATACTGGAGGACGCGGAGTGCAGGCTGCCTGGACCCTTCGTTCCCCAAGGGCCAAGGGCCGCACAGTGGGCCAGACGACCGGTGGAGGCGGCCGAGTTCAAGACGCGTTTTGAGCTCCAGAGTCGCTGAATAGGACTCGAACCGAACGTGTGACCCTACCAATGGATTCCTCCCCGAAGCGAGCTGCGTCGCTGGACGCAGGAGCTGGCCGCGTTTCAAAAACCCCAAACCCGGAACCCGAGGGTTCCGTCCAGGCTTGAGCGACCAGTCGGCTGGACGTGGGACTTCCCTGTCGCTTGCGAGCGTTCGGAACGGTTCGGCACCTTCCCGCTCGGGCCCGCTACGGCCCGCAGTCGACCGAACCGGGTTACCAAAGACACCCAGCGGGCAGCACTCATCCGAGTCCGCGGGTAAACACTCAATAAAATACCCGCGCCACCGTCAGGAAATGAGACAGCCCATTGGCCACACGGCCGCTTATTAAACTGACCTTGAGGTATCGAATCGAGTAGTAGTCCGAGAGAGAAGCCGGCATGGGAGAGGCGGCCCAGGTACCCGGCAGGTACCCGACGGAGGTACCCGATGTAGTCCAAGACGTTAGTAATCCCACAGGCCGGTCATGGCGTTAACCACTGCACTTTCTTGCCGTATCCAATGGGGTGGGTGGTGGCACTGACGCACTGCACTTGTCACTGCACTGGTGCCGGCTCGCGGGGCTCGCGGGGCTCGGGGCGCGCGGCTCGGCGTGTACACGCGGGGCGTCGCGGGGCGTCGCGGCGCGGACGGCGGCGGCGGCTGCCCTTCTGAAGCGGGCGAGCTGAGCGGGCGCTCTGACCTACGACTAGCGCCGCCCGACCCGACGGACCCGACGCGGCGGCGTAGCAGCCCGGCGTAGCGGCGCAGCCCGGCGTGGCGAGCGGAGCGCAGAGCGCGCAGAGCGGCGTGGAGCGCATGGCCCGACCGGCCCGACCCGAACACGAAGGCCCACCCGACGGCCGCCCCCTCAGCTTCGGGCGTCTCCGCCGCCGTTCGGGCCTTCGGCAGCCTTCGGCAGCCTTCGGGCCGCAGCCTGGCGTGGCGTGGCGTGGCGTGGCGGCCCGGCGCTGCCTCGCTGCTGCCTCGCCTGGCCTTGTCCTTGAATGCGGGTTCTGAACCCGGCCCGCGCGGACCCTGGCACTGTGAGGGAGGGGAGCCAGCGACAGTGAGAGTGAGAGAGAGAGGGCGGCAGGCGCGGCAGCACCAGGCAGTCAGGCAGACCGCGGCGGCGGGGCGGCGGGGCGGCCGGGAGGGGAGAAGGGGAGGGAAGGGCAGGGAAGGGCCCTGTAGGAGGGGAAGCGCTCGGCTCGGCTCGGCTCGGCTCGGCTCGGCTCCACACGATGATGAGACAAACGGCGGCACAATGAAAACCGCGAGAGCGCGCGCCGAGGGGCACAGGCAGGCAAAGGCAGGCAAAGCGCGGAAACGGACCGAAAGCAGCTCGGCAGGTGCGACTGGCACTGCCCGGCCACCGCCTGCAGACGGCCGCTAGAGTCCACTAGAGAGGCGGGAGACCGTTTATGGCCGGGCGGCGTGTCACATTTGGAGCGCTTCTCGTAATTCTCGAGTTGAGCTCACGCGCCCGATAAGCACACTGGGCAACGAGGCTACAGCCGGCCCGGCCTGCCGAGCCAGCGAAGCCGGCGAACAGAGGAAATTTTCGGCAACGTCATAGTTGCGAGGAACGTAAGGAAAATAAACAACTTTATTGTTATTCTTCAGAACAGTAGATTCGGTGGGCTAGTGGGCCAGTAGACCGGTGGAGGCGGTCAAAATCCCGGACGCGTTTCGAGCTCTAGAGTCGCTAAATAGGAATGGGACCCGAACCGGCCGGGGGCCTTTGCTTCCCACCTGGAAATCCACTTTCCCACTTTCCTGTATCCTCATTACACTGTGGCGGCCTCGCGGGCCAGACAAAGAGCGAGAGAGACAGACAGCACGTGCCAAATCTAATCGATTAATCGATGATGAGTCCATGCCGATCGATTGGGACGATAGACGATACGACGGCCTTCACCGCGAGCCCGGCCGCCCGACAGTGCGGTGTCACCGAGAGGCGCTCCGTCTCTCTCGCACCCGCACGGGACGCGCCGCGAGTGCCACGAGTGCGAGAGAGACAGAGCGACGCATCAGTCAGCTGGGCGAAGCGCGAGGCGATAACGCGGATGCGCAACGCGAGCAGTGTAGGTGCAGGCCGTGCCAGCCGCCCTGCAGGTAGGCAACCCGCCGCCACCCGTGCAAGAGGGTTGCCTACCCGGAGCCTCGTCAGGCGCTCCACGGTGACCGCAAACGAGGGACCGCTAATAAGGAAAATATTTTGATCCGTTGCACCCCCTGCAGGTTCGACTCCCGGCACCGCCATAGTTCTTTTCTCCTTCCCTCCCCGACCCCAGGCGGACCCTGGCGGCGCGAGGCGCGGGGGTCAGTGTGCTGCCGGACATGCAAATGGCAGGGCATGCTAATTCCGGACCGCGTTCACGGCCAAGGCGAAGTCCACCCCTCTAGTGCAGGGCGCGGCACGGCACGGCACGGCAGCGCAGGGCTCCCTCCTGAAGGACCGGAAGGGTCCGTTGCCGAGCCCTTTGGCGGGACTGCACGCGACGTGGCGTGACTGGCGCCGTCCCTGGCCCTGGCCCTGCTGCCCCCGCGCCCCCGATGGGGCCCTAGCCAGGCCCTAGCCAGGCCCTAGCCAGGCCCGGCCCGCTCGACTGGAGCGCGGGGCTGGGGCGCGGGGCCCCGTTTGGGGTCTCACCTGTTGTTGGCGGGAACAGTGTGTTGTCCGAGGGAAGGCCGCGCTCACATTTTGGATGTCCGCTGTGAATCACCGAGCCCGACACGCACGGCCAGGCAGGCAGGCAGGCAGGCAGGCAGGGCGGTGCTTTAGTGCCACGGTGCCCTCAGCAGGTCTGACCTTAACTCCCTGCCGGACCTGTAACCGAGTTATATCCTGAGCGGTTAGAACAAACCTACTTTGTACACAAATAGCAGTACAACCCTACTTTTATCTCGCAATATTTATGTGTGCAATTTATGAATAGCTCCTCGTTTTTTTTAATTTCACAAAATTTGCAGTGCAAAGAAATTTTCCGTTTTCCCCCCCCAGAAGGTGTGCCGTGGCATGCTGGCTCTGTGGAGCACCCCACAGCGGAATGCAGAACAGTGCTGGGCCGATTGGGCTGCTGTCTCTCTCTCTCTCTCTCTCTCTCTCTCTCTCTCTCTCTCTCTCTCTCTCTCTCTCTCTCTCTCTCTCTCTCTCTCTCTCTCTCTCTCGCGGGGCGTGCCGTGCGCGCGAGACAGAGGGGCGATGCTCGGCCTGCCGCTGGGCCCGACCGGATAGAGGCCTAGCTCCATGGTGCGCCACCAGCAGGACTAGAGCGGTGAAGGTCAACCCGGAGGTGGCGCTCGCCACCCCCACCGCCCCCACCCCCACTGCTCCTCCACCCACACCACCACTTCCGCACGTGCCTCGCGCCCCTCCAGTGCGTATTCGGGTATAGAGAGGGCTCCTCAAACCCCGAACCCCCTGAACCCCCGCCCTGCCTCTCTAGGTCACTGGAGCTCCGGCCCTGCTGCCCTTCCCCCTCCACTCGCACCCCCTTCAAAGGAAAAGGAAAGGGAACGTCCTTTCAAAGTCACCCCGTCCAGCTCTCGGCCCGGCCGGCCACTTCACCGCCGCGGCGCCAAAACAGAGCCCCAAAACAACGCCAAAACAAAGACGAGACAAAGAGAATCCCGTGCGCTAATATTGGCGGCAAAGTTAGAGGGAATTTGAATGGAACAGTCCACTTGGAGCATCAACACGGCGCAGCGGGCAGCGCGTGGCCGCGGGGGGTCGGGGTGGGGGTGGGGGTGGGGGCACCCGGGGGTGGGGTGGCGACCTTGTCCTTGCGCGACCCACATCTGGCCGCCGCTTCCCCCTCCACCGCGGCGCCCCCACCCCCACCCCCAGGGCTGGCGATAACAGCATGCGGCAACAACCCTCTCCATGAGGATGCCATGGCATGCCATGGGCTGCAGGCGGCGGGCACGGCCAGCCAGGCCATGGACTGGACATGGACTGTGGACAGCAGGCCAGCTGACTCGCGGTGGATCTGTCTGCCTTTTCGCCCAAAACCTTCGCCGTGCACCCACCCCTCCCCCTCCCACGCGACACAGTGATGCCTCATTCCTTATTCACGCTCCTGGAAGGCCTGGAAGGCTGCGCAGCGCCTCAGGGAGGCACCTGGCCGCGCCGGACCCTTCGACTGGAGCCAGTCCTGGAGCCAGTCCTGGAGCCAGTCCTGGAGCCAGTCCTGGAGCCAGGCCTGGAGCCAGTCCTGGAGCCGGGGCCTGTAATGCGCCAGAATGTAGCCACAGGTTGCTGCAGTGGTTGTCGGGGTGCTTGCCGCCCCCCCTCGCCGCCCCCCTCGGCCGTCCCCGCCCCCTCCAGCCAGACAACACGGCGGGTCAAGGGCACCCCCCACGTGCGTTCCACTTTCGCTTTCAACCCCCTGCCCGCCCTGCACCCCCAGCCCTGCACCCCCATCCACCCCGCCCCCCGCGCTCTCGCTGCGAGCCAAGGTCAGATGTAGCTGCTGTGACGTGGGTCCCTTCGCCGCCCCCGCCCCCGCCCCCCGCGCCGCTTGTTCGCCCTTCAGGGCATTCAGGCCCTTTGGGCTGGGCGCTACATTCCGCGTCCGCTAGCGGTTTGCTCAGGGTGCCCCCGCCACGCCCTGCCGCCACGCCCTGCCCACCACGCCCCACGCAATGTCGTGCTGAACCTTGACGGTAATGCCGGGGCACTCCGAGGAGGCGCCGGCCAAAAAAAATGAGTACACTCAAATCCGCGGTGGCGGAGTGAGGTCTGTCGTGATGGCAACAGGGTGCGGCAAGCCATCAAGGCGCAGCCCACCACACCATAAAGCAACCACCGCGAACCGCGCCGCCACACAGTGGGCCAGAAGACCGGTGGAGGCGGCCAACACTCTGGATCCAGGGTCGCTGAACAGGACTCGAACCGAACGTGTGACCCCACCAATGGATTGCTCTCCGAACGAGGAATCCATTGGTGGCGTCATTCGTTCTGTTCGAGTCCTGTTTGGCGTCTCTGGAGCTCACATCGCGTCTAGAATTTTGGCCGTCTCCACCGGTCTTCTGGCCCACTGTGTGGCGCCACCTGGTGGCTAGAGGCAGCAACAAGGGTCCGCGTGCGCGCTGCGCGTCCAGTGCTCGCATTCCGCCACCCCGTTCTGGCGGGCTTGCAGTCCTGGTCGCTCCGTCTCTCTCGCACCCATACGAACGCCCCATGAGTGCGAGAGAGACAGAGCGACGAAAACGACCCTCAGTGTGCTGGCGACCTGGCGGGCCTGGCGGGCCCGGCTGGTGCAGCGCGGCTGTGACCCACCGCCCCCCCCCCCCCCCCCCGTCGGGGCGTCCTTGAGCCAGGAGCCTAACACGTGTGCAACCCCACGCTTCAGCCTCTACTCCCCAGCGTACCGATGATTGGCGACCAACGTTGGCACTACTCGAAAAAAAGAAAATCTCAGAGCGCGCGCTCTCCTCTCGTGAAAAAGAAAAAACGAAACAACAAAACAAGGACATGACGTGGCCTTGAGACGCAGTATCGCGCCAACCAATCAAAACGCGCGACGGTTTGTCACCGGCGTTGTGTTCACCGCTTTCCCCCCAATCTGTCTGCACTGTTTACCTTCCTGGGACACCGCTGGGCAGCAGCCC